ATTTAAATTTCTTCATTACTTTTAAATTCATTTGATGATTTTTGTAATTTTTATAAGAATGTCCGGCGGAAAAAAAACTGGCTAAATACAAAAACCAGAAATAAACACACCGCCGGACTAATTATGAAAACACTTTTCTTTTAAGGGGAGAAAACAAAATTAAAGAACCCCATGTTATGGGGCGAACAGTGAGAATTGAACTCACGAAAACTAGCACCACAAACTAGCGCGTTAGCCATTCCGCCATGTCCGCCAACTTGGAGCGAGTAACGGGAATCGAACCCGCGTAATTAGACTGGCAGTCTAAGGTTCTACCACTGAACTATACTCGCAACTCATTATTATTTTTTATTTCGTTAATTAAAAACTAAATCTATTTTTTCTCTAATCATTAACATTTCCTTTTCGGTCAACTTTCCTAATTTCTTAATCAGCCTTGACTTATCTACTGTCTTAATTTGGTCCAACATGGCCAAACCTTCTTTGTTGTTAACTATTACCGGCACTTCAAAATCTAAAAATGTTTTGGTTCTCTTGTAATCGGAGCAACAATAAAACGGTAATTTCACTTATTTAAATTGTCAGTAGAGACAACGACACCTGGTCTAATCTTTTTTATTTCACTTCCTCGGGCCTCTTTTCTCCCAATTCAATATAAATAAACTTCACCCTTTTTAACTTCACCACTCACCATCATTATTTAATTCCTCGTCAAGGCCAACATTATTTCATAATTTTAATTCTTTTTCTCTTTCTTTATTCTTAATGGCTCGCCCGTAGTTAGCAAAAATGTCTATCTTTTCGGAGTTTTTGGCTTTTGGTTTGGATGAGTTAATTGGCTGTTTTTGGAGAGTTTCCATCAATATCCGGTAATCAATCTTTTTACTCTTTAAGAAGTTTTGGATTAATTGACTTTGGTGGCCCTTGTTGATTTCTAAAATTATTATTTCTTTCATATCCTTGTCTAATTGAAAATATTGGTCTCCGGCAATTTCACATCTATTTTAGTCTTGTCAGACAAAATATTGTATTGCATCATTTCTCATATATTATATTATTTTTTATTCTAAATCATTTTTCAAATATTTTTTTTGATAAAGGGAAAAAAAGAGTCAGCCAGTCAAGATAGAAAGAGGGATGGTAAGCGAAATAAAAATCAATGGATAGTCCAGAAGGATTTCTCGTAAAAAGTGGGCAATGGAATAGAATAGAAACACTGGCACTAAAAGAGTTAGACCAGCCAAAAAAGGATTGGTCTCCTGAAAATAAAAATAAAGAGGAACGATAAACAAAAAGTTGACCATCGCAAAGACCAACCCATTGAGTAATAAAAAGATGAAAGCGGTCGCTATCCCCACTTTAACGGCGGCCAAAAAGTAAATAAACAGTAATCCCGTCAATACCAGATTAATACCCATAAACCAGGTAAATGCGGCGGTGAACTTGGCTAAAATGACGGTTTTGCGGTCAACACCCGGAGTAAAAACCAAAACTTTGGTGTCCTCATCCCGGCGTAATTTTGGAGCCCGGAAAAATTGCCTTTTTTGAAATTCCTCTCATCCCAAGCCACGTCCCACCAGATAGGAAACAAGAGGGATAATAGTTATGCACAAACCCCAAAACTGAAAAAATGAAATTGCTCAGAAAATAATTAAGTTTCTCTGCCAAGTATCAGCCCATTCAAAAAGTTTTCGAAATATTTCTGGCTTAAAAAGAAGAGCGACCCAAATAAAAGCAAAAAGAACAAAATAAAACAGCACTACCGGAATTTTCTCCACTAATTTAGAACAATAATAACGATAAAGTTTTGAAAATACGGTTTTTTGATATTTAAACATAAAGTAATTTTAATTTAAATCTTCCTCTTGATATCTTAAATAATAAAGGGTGAGGAAAAAAATCCCGCAAACTAAGGAAATAATGGTAAACCAAATGGGGTCAAAGAAAACGCTTTCCACCTTGTAAGGTCAAGCCATTGAAGTTAATAATTTAAGACCACCCCAGAGCAGAGGAAAAAAGGATAGTAAGGTTGATAACATTCATTTGCTACTGCCCAATCAGGAACTTAAAAATAGGTAAGGAACAAAAATCAGACCAAAGAATAAAAGCGGCCCGACAATAGTAGTTATTAAAGTTAGCAAAGCAAATCAAGCAAGGGAAGTTTTTGAGGCTAACCATCAATAATAAATGCCAAACGGAATTAAAAAGAGAACAATATTAATGAGAAAATAAAAAGTTAAAAAAGCGAAAATCTTCCCCCAAATTATATCACTTCTTTTCACTCCAGGGGTCATAATTAGAACCGACTCCTCCTCCCCCTCGCGACGGGGCTGGAAAAATGTTTTATCCAAAACCTCAAAAATGAACCAATACAAGACCACAAAACCACTCAAATTTCACCAAGAAATATTAAAAAGCATTTGTCAAAAACTTTTTTCTCCCATTTTGTTATAACCATCTGTTTGGGAAAAAAAGAAAGCGTTGTCTGCCGACCACGGAGTAGAAAAAAAAGCATTGCCACCATTATCAGCACTTCGCAAACTCCAAAATCACAATCTTTCTGTGTATCCCCAATTTTTCACTTCTTCATCGCCTTCTTCTAATTTCTTTACATATTCTTCCATTGTTTCTCTGTCAAATTTTTTAACCTCATCAAATCTCCACGCTCCAAATCTTAACCTGTTTCCATCCGAAAAAGAATATTTTCGGTCCCATATCTTTTTTATTTCGGGGTCCAAGTTTTTAAATTTCTCTGGCTTTGCTGCTTCTACTGAGCCTTTAAAAGCTTTCATTGCCGCTCACGGAAGCACAAATCACCACACCACTCCAATTAAAATGGTGAAAATGAGAATTCGCCCTCAATTTTTTTGTCAGATTTTTCCCAAATAGAATCTATATAATTTTCCAGTCGCTGCCATAATTCCTTTTTATAATTCAAATAGTCCGTGGTCTTGGCCTTCCTCAATAAAATATTCT